TATGGGGTCATTCCTAAAGAATTCAGACAACACAAACCATAACTGATGATCTTAAATTGAATACTACAGAAAACTCAGCATATCCTAAGGACAGAAATTAAGGACCCAGTGTTTAAAATCTTTTTCAATCAGATTTACCTCATCCAGAAAAATGAAATCTTTTCATATTGATGACTGAAGCTACTGTAATTTATTGCTGGGCTCTGTAGTTGTCCCATTGATACCTGTGTCTGTTTTTATGGAATTTTCATACTATGGTGTTTAATGCCACTCTGTGATGTATTTGAATTACAAGTGTTACACCTCTGGCCTTGATTGTCTGTTTAACAACTGCTTTAACTATTTGGAGTGTGTTGTGATTTCATACAAATTTTAGAAATATTTTTTCTGTTTCTCTGGAAAGGGCCATTGAGACTTATTTTTTTGGTACTGGGGATCAAACCCGGGACTTTGCGCTTGCAAGGCGCTGGAACCACTGAGCTAAATCCCTGGCCCCTGAGACTTTTATAGAAGATACTTTTTATCTGTGTATCAGAATATATAATAGAGAAATTTAACTATCAATAATGTACATTCATGAATATGAGATGCCTTTCTATTATTTATGCCTTGTATATTTTTTCTATAATGTTTGAGTTTTCATAGTAAAGACCTTTCACCTAATGGTTTGAATTTTTTCTTAGCTCTGTTATTAATTTTGGTGCTGTAATAGAAGGGTCTTTTTTCTTGATTTCCTTTGAGCATAGATCATTACTGAAATAAAGTAATGCATTGAGCTTCTGTTCTAATTTTCTGTCCCAGTACTTTATCAAATTGATCTACTAGTTTAAAAGTGTTTTACAGCTTTTGGGGGGGTTTCCACTTGTAGGATAATGTCAAGGATAAACAGGGCCACTATTACTGTTGCCTTTATTGTTTGGATGCTTTTTTACTCTTTATTTTTTCATTTCTGATTACACTTCCCAGTACATCTAGATTCTGGTGAACATGAATGGTGAGAATAGGCCTCACTTTCTACCAGTTTGTAAATCTTTGTTTTTCCCATTGACAATGATGTGAACTGGACTTTTTACATTTTTTTACATATCTTCTATTAGGCTGGAAAAATAATCTTTTGTGCCTAATTTATTTTTAGTTCTTATTTAAAAAAAGTACAGGGAATCGCTTCAAATGCTCTTTGTGTATCTATTGAGGTGAGTGTGTGTTATTTTTCCGTCTCACTCTTCTGAAGTGGTGAATCTCATTGACTGATTGCCCTTGTGGAGACAATCTTGATTCACATGGATAAATCTCATTTGTTTTAAAATCAGAAATTAGTGACTCCTGCCACAAAACTGAACATAAAATAGATTAACAACCTAAACATACCATGTGAAGTCATAAAAGTCCCAGAATAAACATGAGAAATTTTCTTGATGTTAGCTTTGTCATTGACATTGTGGATGTCAAATCTAAGGCCCATGCAATATAATCCAAGCTAATCCAAGGAGATTTCATCACACTACAAAGCTCTTCACAGCAAAGATCATATTCCAGAAAATGAAATAATAATTTTGGAAAAATATTCAGAGGAAATATATGTCACAGAGGCTTTATGAAAAACCTACATAGATATCTCACACAACTAAGCAAGAGAAAAAAGATTTACTTTAAAAGTATTAAAGGCCTAGAATAACTTTTTGTAACTGATGAATCCTGGTAGTCAACAAGAATTAAAAAAGATTTTCAAGAAAGCTAATCAGTAGTAAAATGTAAATTCCACAATGAGCTATGGGCTCACAACTATTCAGATGTATCATTCATATTATCAGAAATCAGAAAGGGACAAGTTCTGAGAAGACTGTGAAGAACAAAGAAATATGCGTATTATGTAGATGTGTAAACTTGTGCAACCATCATGAACAAAGAAAATTATAAAAGAAAATTTAAAATACAACTCTCACATTGCTCAGCTATTACTCTTCTAGCTATACTGAAAGAGATGAAGGCAGCATGAAGTATAGATGTCATTATTCCAATATCCAAAGCAGCATTATCAACAATATGCAACATATATAAAGACTATTAACATCCACTATAGAGAGATGAATAAGATTTTCACTTATATACCATAAAATATTTTTCACAGCAAAGGAAAAGGAAAGCCACCACTTATGGTAGCTTGGATAAAACTGGTAAACATTAAGCCAGTTGAGATGTGGCACACACAGAAAAACACTGTGGGACCTCATGTATATGTGGATCCTAAAAATAAAAACATAGAGATGGAGAGAAGAATTATGGTTTCCAAGGATATGCAGTTCAGATGCAGCTAAAATGGTGCAAAGGTGAAATTTTGTAGTTTCATAGTCTAGAAACTTGATGTGAGGATGGGAACTTGAGTTAGGAATATGGTACTGCATTCTGGAAGTTTCCCAGAAGAGTTGACTTCAGGTGCTCTTGTGTAAAGAAAAGGAAACTATGTGGTATGAAGGATATGGTAATTTGCTTAATAGTAGTAATCATTTCCTACATATATGGACCTCAGTGCTTTGTCATTCATCATACATTTTTCTGGTATTGAACATAGGGCATTCAGTTGAACTACACAGTCACCCATTTCAAGCAATACTTTTTTTATTTTGAAACATATTATTCCTAAACTGTTAAATTACCTAGGCTGGGCTGAAACGTGAGATCCTCTTGACTCAGCCTTCAGAGTGGTACGATTACAGGCATAAGCCACCATGCTTGGTTAAAACATCATGTAGTATACTTTCAATAATTACAATGAATGGTTTTTTCCAGAATTTGCATGAATCATTGGTCCTAAATTACAATCCCATGGACAGACCTGAGTCCTTCAATACCTACAAACTTCCTGATGTATTTCAGTTTTATGTAAGAAGGATATGTGACCACATGAGTGTCTGCACCCATCCTCAAAGGTGTTCATATTTGGGGTAGAGTAGGAACCTCAGAAAAGTCAATATCAGCAAATCAATGATGATTATTTTTCTTGAGAGACTTCAGCTCCTCCATATTATATACAAAAGAGTATCCCAGATGACACAGTGGAAAAAGACCAGGAAAACTCCTAAAGGCATTGCATTAAACCACTTAGTGGGGAAAGACACCCACCCCATCTCCGTCTCGATCCTATGCAGATATGGAGAGTTCAAGCTCCTTCGATCATAAGCTGAATATCTGTTGTGGAGAATTAGGACAAACAGCAAATCAATACATAGTACTGCAAATTCCCAGCTTCCTAGGTCTCCTCACACTTTAAGATCTCCCTGGGTTTTACTTTTCTTTTTCTCTGATAGAGAATTTAAACCCACTCCTCAAGTTCCTCATCTAGTGTCCAATCTAATCTCATGTGTGACTGCCAAGCAGTATGGGTTCCTCACTCAGATTAATAGCATGAAATAGAAGCTTAATAGCATGTTCTCTATCCATTAAATAAACACAAAAGCTATCTAGGAAGTGGCAGGGATTATCCCTAGCCCTCTAGATAAGAAGCACTTACTCAGGGAAACTTTCATAACTCTTCCTAGCTTGAAATTAGAAGCAGGATCATAGGGAAGATGCACTCAAACAGTGTGAGGATGAACTTCAGACCCACGGTGAATGCCAATGTGAGCCATGTGGAGGAGAGAAATAGGAGAACTGTGAAGAGATCTTTCAGGCACAGGCACAGTTTCAGTCGCTCTTTACTCAGGAATAAACACTGTGGAGCAAATACTCCATCCTTTCCCTGTGAACCTCATCTCTCTGACTGTACTCTCAAAGGAACAGTCCCATCCTCTGAAAGGATGAGGTTAATGAAGTGAGCTGTTCTTATTCAGTTTTTTTTTCTGTTATAACCAAGACCACAGAAGGCTGCTGAGCTCCAAAGCCAGCTTTACTGATGTTTCTGAATCAGACTTCATGAGAATCCACTTAAGTCCCACAGGAATGAGTCCAAATCATGGGGCTCATGTGTCACCCTGAGTTGGGGTAACAAAGACTGACTTGAAAAGGAAACTGAATTTTCCAAATCATGGTTTTGAGTGAAGTAGAATCCTTGAATTTCTATCTTTTTACTTTGAGGATGACTAGAACAAAAATTATTAAATGTATTTCTGGATGCCATTTATTTCATCCTAAATAGAGGTTTATTTAGCTTCATCTGATGGTCTCAGAAATTGAAACATTGCACACATAAAATTATTCACTTAGGGTCAGTCTTTGGCCATCTCTGTATACAAGTCTGCAAGTTACTTTGCACATATGGATAAATGCCAAGAAATGGCACATGTGGATCTGGAAATACTTACAGATGTGATATCTGCAGCAAATATAACCATTGCCCCTGGCAATGCAAACAATTTTGCACCATGCATCATTGTTAATGCCAGTGCAGCCAGACAGCTCACAAAGTTTGCATATATGCAGGTAAGAATCTGCAAGAGAAAAAGAAAACCAAATCCTCACTCATGCCTTCTGGAGACTGGTACATCGCTGCACAAGTGTGGATGTGCATGCACTCTCTTAACATACAAGAAAAATTGAAAATTTAAAAAATAATACAAAAGATTCTATGCACTGTTTGCAAATTATACTTGTGGGCCAGAAATACACAAATGACCTGAGGTGCTGGGAAGGAATCCCTTTGGGGCCTGACAACACAGCGAGACCTGAGAACTGTCGTGCTGTTCATTGAGGGTGTTGAGGTGATGTAGGTTTTGTGTGCTGTAGATTTTTTAAACAACAGGGAAACTCACCCCATTGGTGTTCTCTGTCTTTTCAGTTGCAATGGCCATAATTCCTGATGAGACATACTGTATAAAAGTAAAGGTCAATTAATTAGTCTGGAAATACATCACCTGTGCTCACTTTGACTAAGACTTAGTGTTTCCTAATGTTCTTCCCAAACTCTGTGTTCATAAACAATCCATGGAATCATTCCTCAGGGCTACATTTGTGTTTGAAGTAGTACAGGAATAAATATTATTTGTATTTACTCACAATGAGTGGTACCAGAAGGTATACGTAGGGCAATACAGGGTGCAGTTGTATTGCAGAAAGTTCATAATGAGATGAATTGGAGATAACTATTGTCCACAGGACATTCAGGGCCACACCGAACATCAGTTGGAGCGTCTAGTGAAGGAAAAAGTGTCTTTCAGGTAGGAGGAGCAGGTGAAACTCTTAGATACAGTTACTTCACCAATGAGCGGGTTCTGATAACTCTGGGCTCCCTTACAAGGGAAATTTTCTTAAGATTAGTGCCTAAGTTAATGTTCTGCATTTCCAAAATGACAGCATTGGTATTTTTCATAAATCATATGTATATATATTTTTCTTTATATTTAAAGAGTCAGAAGACTCTCATAAGGGTGTTTCCATCACCCCAACAAACTATTGGGTGGTCTAGTCACCTGACAGAACAAATTTGAGAGAACAGAAAGCACCTCATATATGACCCTCATATAAAGGGCCTTTGAAATGCTTACCCCTATAAAATACCACACTTTACTCATGGAAATATGCACATGGTGTAGATCAGATGGATGACTGGTTTCCATGTCTGGAACGTCCATAGTGATGTTGCTGATAATGTTGTTTTTCACAAGCTATGACACTTTTGATGTGTGACGATGTGTTGCCCTGGAAGAGTAGATCATAGGATGAGTCTCTGATTCCATACAATGTTTCCATGCATGAAAATATCCAAGTGATTTTAGGTCCTATGGCAAGTGCTAGAGATTAGGCCACATAAGTGTTTTAATAATGATTAGGGAAGTCAGACATTTAATAAGTTTCAGCATTGCTTCTTGCCCATTGAAGAGTAGTATACCCTCTTATTACACTGTCATAAAGGCTATGCAAGAAGCATCTACTCACCCCAGTAGGATTCTGAGGATACCAGCCTGAATTCAAGTGGCCTCTATACATAGTGTCTTGAAATGATGGTGAGTATTAATGGAATGGAGCTGAAAATAAAAAACACCAGCCACTAATCGTAGTGTTAATGTATCTGAGAGACATGGAGTGACATAGTTTGTTAGTCTTGTGACATTAGAACTCTTTGATTTACTCAGACATTTAATTAGTGCCTTCCATTATGATTTCTATTTTGCTCATGAGCTTCTGCTTCTTGGGAAGTTGTAGAAATTACACCGTTGTCCTCAGTTAGGCCCATGGTAACTTACAGGCTCTCACACTCTGGTTTCTCCTGATTACTCTGCTCAGCAGCCCACATGCTGTGCTGAGGCACATAAATTCCCTAAGAACCCTGTGTCCATGGTTGGGCACCACACCCACCTAAGCCATAACCCTTGCTCTTCTGCTGTCGGGATTCCAGAACAGAAATTCTACAGGTAACATTCATGTATTGGAAGGAGTTCCAGTCTCTATCAGTAATGGGTCCTCTCTCTTTTTCAAAGACATAGAGCTCCCTGAATTTGAATTTGTGCTAGTATTACCTTTTCTAACCTATAATGATGGAGACAGTTTCCATGGAACATTCCTCTCTTTTTTTACATGAACTGTGGGAAACTAGATATTTCCTCATATCTCAATTTTGCTTGGCAGTATGCTTATAATAATGTATAATAGGAAAATACATTCATTTTAGAATTGCTCATATTTCCATACATTCATTAAAGTACGAAAAATTCATCATTTCTTTTAGAGAAATTAATACTTTTTAATTCTGAGATAGAAATTATCAGAATAAAAATATCTTTTTTATTTTTCTCAATGATAATGATAATTTCAGGAAAAAAGTCATAAACATACATGACCTGTTATTTAGATTATGAAAATTATATGCAGACCCAAAGCAACAGAAGCATTTGGGCTTAGCATGGACTCAGACTACTTCACATAGAATCACCCCTGATGTTCTTTCCTCCCATCCTAGTCACTGGCAGACATGTGCTCTGTTGCCCATCCCTAATCTGCCATTTTCCTTCTCTGAAGTGGATACAGGCTATTTTTAAAAAATGTACTTGTGGTTACACATATTTCTATAACAGTATAATTACCTTAAAATAAATGTTCACACATCTTTCCCTTACTTTTGATGGTGATGAATACAAAAGCATAAAACTATACACAAACAATTTTCTATGTCTTAATATCAAACTGTCCAGTTGCTCACTTTTAGTTCTTATCCAAAGCAAAAATACCATCACTTTCTCAACTGACTGTGGCTCATTCTTTATGAACATAAAAATCCATATTTCAAAAATTCTATCATAGAAAGTCATAAATTAGACTTCCAGGCTCTGAAATTGTTGCTGAATTAATGATTAACTTGGAAAGAGATAGAAACACATAGTCCTCACTACTTTGAATTTTTCTATAGTACTTACCCAGGTTTCCATGGTAAAAATGGAGAATGTCAGTGCTTTTAATTATCGTGTGAGTCATAATAATTTTATAAAGAGCTTTGTCATAAGAGAAGAAATGTATTAGTGTTATCTATTCATTATTAGGATTAGTATTATTCATTCATGGTTTCTCACTACACCCATACCAACTAGAAGTGAAACTTTCTACCCATTTCCTGTCTACCTCAGATCTATCAAAGGAATAATATGCCCTTTCCCAGTTATAGAATTTCTAGTGTCTTATTATTCAGTTCATATGAAAGAATCTAGGGTTTCTCAGTCATTTCTTTGTCTGTTTTTTTTTTTTTTTGGTACTGGGAATCGAACTCGGGTCCTTGCACTTTCAAGGCAGGCAGTGGAACTACTGAGCTAAATCCCTGGCCCGGTTCTTTGTCTGTGTTATCAGGAAAGTAGTATTTTTCTTCTTTCTTGCATCTACACTCAGCCTAGGTAGTGGTTCAAAGAGTAAAACACTATTACAGCTTAAAGCTTTATAGTGTCTTATTGCTCTGTGTATCTGGAGGGAAAGTTTTTGGCTCAAGGTGTCTCAGGTTCAGAGAATTAGTGTGAGACTGTATCATCTGTGGTGTATTTTTCCTAAGACCACATGTTTCTCAATGTTTTCTCCCAACCTCTGGGTTCATAAATAACATATGAAAACAATTCTTGAGGTTTCTATTCACTTTTAAGTGATAGAAAGACAATAATTGAATTTACTTGCAATGATTGTTATCAAAAGGTAGAAGCAGGGCCATAGAGAATGGAATTGTACCACAGAAAGATCATAATGAGCCACACTGCAGCAAACTATTACCCACGAGATGATGAGCACTACACCAAATCTAACTTGGAACATCTAGAGAAGAAGAAAATACTTTAGAAGGGGGAAGAATAAGTGTTATTCTTGGAAAAGAATACCAATTTAGGAGTTTTAAATAAGTCAAGACTTCCTTTCTAAGGCTAATTGTGTTAGGATCAATGCCTAAATTCATCTTTAGCTTTGCCCAAAAGACAACATTGGCAGTTTTCAAAAATTATAAATGTAAGCCAATAGTCTCTGCTTAATGGAGGTGTTTCCATGGCCACACCAAAGTATGAAGTGATCCAGTTCCTGACTCACAGCAAATTTGGCAGAACACGAAAGCACATCAGTCACCAGGGGCCTTTACAATGCTCATCACTAGAAAATGTTGCACTTTAATCCTGTGAGTCAACACAGGGCTCTGTGCCTCTTGAGGGCTAGGCACTGGCCCAGGTAGCTCAGATCAGTGATGGGGTTACTGCCTTGAATGTGGAGGGTCAGGTGGCTGATAATACTGCTCTTCTCAAACAGTGCTGCCCTTGATGACTGAAGACATGTCATTCTGGAATATCAGATCAAAGAAGGAGTCTCTTTGTTTAGAACATTGTCATGCATGCAAATACCAAAAAATATAGTGTTATAACAAATGCCAGAGATTAGGGTGCATTATTGCTTCAGCAAATGTTGGGGAGATTCTGACATTTAATACACATTTAGCATTGTTTCTTGACCAGTTAAGAACAGACTGCTCTCTGTTATACTAAGTGCCAAAATGGGTGTGTAGTAATATCTACCTATTCCAAGGGGAATCTAAAGGCTATAGCATGAATTAAAGTGTCTTATGTCTTGAAATGATGGTACTATTTCCAGGATACAGCTGAAAATCAACAAATGCCAACCACTAATCTTAGTTCTTCTGTCCCAGAGAGACATGGAGTGAAATATTTTATTAGTTTTGCTGCATTAGAACTCTTTTATTTACTGACAGATCTAAGTTTTATCTGACATTATTATTTCTGTTTTGTCCCTGGCTTCAGTGTCTGGGAAGTTTAAGAAATGATACATCGTCTTCCTTAATCCCAATAGTAGCTTATGTGCTCTCTCACTCTGGTTTCTCTTGATAACTCTGCCTGTCCAACACGCACTATACCCAGTCACTCAGATCCCTAAAGTGCCACATGTCCATTGTTCCGGTGCCACGCCCATCCAAACATGCACAACTGCTCTGCTATTCTCACGATCCACGCAAAGAAATTACACATCCAACACCTCACATCAGGGATGATTTCAGTCCCCTTTAACAATGAGTTTTCTCTGTTTCTTTAAATCATGGACCATTCTGAGTTTAAATGTGGGTAGTGAAACCTTTTCTGGCATCAGGACAGTGCAGATTCTACCTCACAGGCACTTCTTTTTGATAAGAAGCTAGATATTCTTCCTCATACTTCTACATTGTTTCATTTTAGAGTACATTATAACAATTCTCCACATGCATGGTGAATTGATACAATCTAATTTAGTAGGATGGTTTATTAATGTAGAATTAAAAATATGAATATTTTTGTAATATTAAACATTTGGTACTTCTTTCAGAGAAATTAATGCCTTTGATTCTTAGAGATATTAAGAGAACAGAAAGTATCATTATCGTATAAATGATAAGTTCAGAAATAAAAGTCATGAACATATATAAGCTGGTATTTTGATTATGGTATTACATATGGATCCAAAGGAATAGAAGCATTTGTGGTTGATCAGGTGATCTCTTCATGCTGAATTAGCCATGATCTTCCGACTTTCTTCATGCTTTTGTCCCTCACAGTTCCCCACTCCATCCCCCAAATCTGCTGTTCCCCTTCCTAAAGCACAAATATGCTAAAATGTTTTAAAAATGTTTTCCTCTTTTCATATAACATAATAATTAAGTTGAAATAAGTGCTATTACATTTTTCTTCCTTTTGATAGCTATGACTAATCATCACACAGTATTACACATGTATAGGTTACTATGTCTTCTACTCCTCAGTTTTTCAACACTAATTCACAATAATAGCAAAAATATCATCATTTTCTGAACTGTGACTCATTCTTTATACACATAAAAATCCATATATCAAAATTACATTTCATTGATTTCTGCTTTAAAATCACTTTTGCTTTCATAGCAGCACAACTTGTAAGAAGTAAATCTTGGAAGAAGCTTAAATGTCCATTAAGGGAAATTGATAAAGAAAATGTGGTATTTATATACAATGGAGTATTACTCTGCCATAAAGAAGAATAAACTTGAGTCTTTTATAGGAAAAAAGGATGCACCTTGAGACCATAATGTTAAGTGAAATAAGTCAGAGAGCTTAAATATTCTATGGTTTCTCTTATATGAGAAACCCAAAATATAGAGAAAGAGCAAGATAAAAGACAGATAATATGAAGTAGGGAAATAGATCTTTCTCAAAGGGGAAGAGGATCAAGAGATGGGGTGGGGGAGGGAGAGGGAATGTAAAAAGGAGGGAAGGGGAGTCATGTGCATCTGACAGCTCCACACAGGGAAGGCAAACATTACGTACTGCAAACATGGCCTAAGAAAGAAATGAAAACCATAAAGATGGGGAAACTATAATTTGGATCATGGTCACTAGAACTCTTCTGACTGAATTTCCTACATGGAGAGATGAAACTAGAAAGTAAACATGTATTAAGATGGTTGGATACAGCAGCACCAAGGGATCTGGCAGCCTAAACTTGGGACCACTGGATGTGTAGGATGACCTCTCCTGGTCCAGGACAAAAGAAAGTTTTCTGTGAGCCCGAGGCTTTGCCATGGAGCTACAATCCCCCTTATCGTCTAAGGAAGAACCATTTTCTGTAAGGAATGCAGGGCTACATACCTCATGAAAAGTGTCACTCAGTCCTGAGACACCATGTGCCCTGCTCCGCTGTCCCTTTTTAAGCTTTCTTGGGAGCCAGGAAAACAGCATAGGACCTGCAGCTCATTAGGACACTGAAGAGATAGACAAGGTGTGGGGCATGGGTTTCCCCTGCATTTCAGTTTCACTTTATTAGAACGAGTCTTCTGCTCTACGAGGAGATAAAAGTGTGTTACCAAGAATGTCACCATCCTGACAGAGTTTCTTGCAGATGGTGTCTGCGATGAGCAGAGGTACACGATGCTGACAAAATATTGCTTTATCTCTGCTGCACACACAGCCAGCGTTTTCAGTGCCAAACCCTCCCATATGAATCTCTCTTTGTGAAGAAAGAAATTCTAATTCCCTTCTCACAGTCTCTCAGATTGGTGCTAATAAAGTGCTTGCTTTGTAGTTATGGACTTACTTTGACTTAGAAGTGCAAGCATTTGTAGTTCACAGAAATCCTTCAAGTAGGGTGAACAAATTGAATTATTCCTATAGATGGGAAAGATATCTGCACTCTTCCCTATTCATTTTAATTTGTACATTTTCCTCATAATCATAATCTACAATGCTTTTCCCCTTATCTTACCTCTTTATACTACTTGAAAAATAACTACACAGGAACACAGTGCACAATATTTCTGAGCATCCTACAGGAAATTCCAATCATAAAGATATTTGCTATTTGCCCATATCTCTGAAAGTATATCCTCCAAAATCATAAGGAAAACCAATGAGATTTACAGCTATATTTTTATTCAACTTTAAATGGAAAAAAAGCAGACAGCATAGTCTGCTCCATACAGAGTTCTTCCATAATACTTACCTTTGGTTACCAAGGTGAAATTGAGAAGCTCAATGCTTTTAATTAACATTGTTTCAGTCATGATAATTTTATGAAGAGCTTTGTCATAGGGAAAAATGATATTCTTTTCCCCATGTTTATGTGTGCACTTCTATCAAAGAGGAGTGATGTGTTCTACTCTCATTCTACTTCAAATCCATCAAAGGAAGTCATCTTCCCATACCAAATTGTAGAAGTTTCAGTGTCTTTTTTGTGTGTGCAGATTTAATGAGATAGAACTTTGAATATGGGCCATTGGTACTTGCATGCATTGTTATGACCATAGAATTTTTCTTCTTTCTTGAATTGACTACAGCACAGTATGTATTGACATACAACATAGGTAGATGTTCCAAGAGTAAAGCAATCTTGAGCACATAACAAGATTTATAATATCTGTCTTATTAAACCAAATAAAATCACCCTGAAATTAAATGAACCTCAAGTATTTACTAGTGAGAATGAAGAAAAAAATAAGAGAAATAAATAAGAGCAATGAAAGTCTCTGACTAGAGAAGGTAAATACAAGCAGAATTAGGGAATATGGGTCACAAGAATCACAGAGCAGAGAGTGTGGCATCTCAGGAGGAGTAATGTCAGTAACTGCCCAGGAGTTACACTGCTGGGGGAAAACAGTGTGGGCTAATTTCCCAGTGCAGACATGCTAATAAATGCCTATTGCAAAGGTGTGATGGAAACCAAACATGGTTGATAAAACCTCAGAGAAAAATAACAGTGGAAGCTTCTGACATTGGAGTTCGTGGGTTAGAATTCCCCACAGGAAATACAACTGGCAATAAACTTCCATGCTCAAAGACACAAAATTTAAAGAATCATCCCAAAAAATCTTGTATTACTTTATCTTTTCCCATGTTCAGTTTCAATTGATTTTCTTCTCTTGGCTATTGCTGGAGTCACAGCACTGAGTCCTCTATCCCAGCACTTAGTCCCCTTGAGGTCCCTTGTGGTGGAGCTTGCTCTCTACGAGTAGAGATTTATATAACAGGAGAGAAAATATGCAAAACTCTGAGTGGAAGACAGGTTTGCAGGTGCTCTTTGTAGATTTTATATTTTAACCCAATTAGTTAGTATTTTCAAGAAGTTTCCAGACATTAAAAATGAATGAGGTTTTAGTGAGTAGGTTCTGCTACTGTGGAATACTTTCTACATCAACTATGGAAAAAACAAAATTACAAAATATATGGGAATTATTAAGAAAAAGTTTGTAAGGAAATTATTTCAGAAAGACATATCTCAGGAAAATTACAGAAAACCTTCAACAAATGAAAATGCAAACTGAATGAATTACAGTTCCTGAGATACAGGTAAATTCCATCAGTTTATAGCTTTTGATACTATTATAGCCCAGAACAAATTATTAAAATCTATAATCTTCCACTTGTAATATCTAGAGAAATGAAAGTTATTCCAATGAATATAAAAGGAAAACACCAGTACTAAAGACATATTAAAGATATATAATTATCCATCTATCTATCTACCTATAAAGATACATATTTATCTGTCTGCCTATGCTTATATATATATATATATAATAAAATGATTAAAGACCAAATTGAGTAAATGTAATACTGAGATAACAACACTGACATAACAATGTAATATTACTTCCCGGAGGGATTTAACAGGATCTATTTCATCAGTGAAGTTCCATATTACTTGATATTTTCTATTAAAACTTTCTACAGTCCACATATTTGATTACATGTAATTTATTATATGATACATTTTTTCACATACTCACCTGTGTTTGAGTCTATTGCTGCAATTATGTAAAATTTATTGCAGTTATAATATTATATTATAATTCAATATTTATTTTTACTTTTGTAACTTTATACATGACTTCTTATTTTTCTAAATTTCTGTAAATATTTAGAAGCTATTCTTACTTCTGTTCTGAAGGCACTATTTCAATGTAAAGTTTCTCCATTTTATCACCAGGTGGAAAAGAGTGGTTATGAAAATTCAATGTGTGTGTGGCAACTTTATTATTTTATCATCTACTGTGATGGCTTATATTTAAATGTCCCCTCAAATCCTCATGTGCTCATAGGTGGGGCTTTTCAGAGGTTGCTGGATCTAGGGTATATGAATATGGATTAATGGTGTGAGAACTGGACTAAGAGTGTGTGGATTAGTCCACTAACGTCTTAAGCATAGTTCTTGGTACGGATCATGGAAGCCTCACCAGGGTGTGGGTGGCACCAATCAATAGGCTTACAGATTTTATGGAATATAAAGGGAGAGAGGGAAGGCAGGATGCTGTTTACTGCTGCTGGTTCTTACTGCCTCCTGCATGTTATGGTCTCTTTTCTGGCTGTGATGCCCTCTAACCTGCCACCCTGCCTTGAAGCCATCGGACTATGGACAGAAAGGCCCACATACTTTGAATTGAAATAACCTTTCCTCTTTTAACTTTGGGTGTTAGATACTGTGTCTCGGCAATGAGAAAAGAAACTAAGATGAATATGTATCTTGTTCTAAAATTATAGAATATATAGATTTTTGCTAGGTGTTTTTCTGGCTGAAATTAAGAAAGTCATACAGGGGTCACATCATTATTTTCTCATTGGCAATGCCTTCTGAATTCTAGGTCACTAATATTAGATTATCCATACCTGTTGTTTAGCTCCTGTATTATAACAATAAGACTCTAAAACAACAATGCACTAACATAAGAAATTACTCCTCTCTGTTTTTGCTCAGCTTGACCCCCTCTATCTGGGGAGAACATCCCACAACATTAGAATGGTGAAATTATTATTCTTACCCATTGGATCAATCACATATTTATTCTCCTTGAGCCATAAGCATATTGTAGACACATATTGTAGAGTTTTAAGAAGTGTATTGCACAGGTTTTCTTATTTTTTTAAAAAATATAATCTCCTTAGCACTTATCATTTCTGAAACTCAGTGGTGGTCAGTAAGTCCCCATTGTTCAAAACTTGAATCTTAGTTCTTTCTAGTAGAGTTGTCTTTCTTGGAATAGCACAACTTACTTCTTAGGCCACATGTAGAATTTTTTAAAATTCTGGTTGTTGTTGTTTTCATCTTAATCTAGGATCTAAAACTTATACCTACACTGAATCTCCCATTGTTAACTAAAATGGTACAAAATCATGGCAGTAATTAACTCAGGAATGTGCACATTTCTAGGAACTGAAGCTACTGCAGGTGGTACCCCCCAGGCTGACACTGACCAACCTGTGAGAGGCTCCTGAGATTGGGGAATATTTACTGAGAGGCGATGTGTGTGTTGAGTAGGGGCTGTCTGTTCATAGTGTTTATTTAGAGAGAGAAGAAATATGATGGTAACAATTTCTTTATCTTATAACATATGATGTGGCTGTTTCAGCTGGTGTCAGGGGACAGAGGGAAGGGAGGAAAAGGATCAGCCTGGGAAGTCATCTCTGCAAAAGCAGAACTGGTGTTCAGAAAAATTCTGCATTTTCTTATTAAGAAAAAACAAATATCTGCTACACTGAACCTATGGGGTCATTCCTAAAGGATTTGGACAACACAAACCATAACTGATGATCTTAAATTAAAGACTACAGAAAACTCAGTATATCCTAAGGACAGAAGCTAAGGACCCAGGCTTTAAGATCTTTTTTCAATTAGATTTATCTCATCCAGAAAAATGAAATCTTTTCATATTGATGACTGAAGCTACTGTAATATATTGCTGGGCTCTGTTGTTGTCTCATCAATACCTGTGTCTGTTTTTAGGAATTTTCATACTACAGTGTTTAATACCACTCTCTGATGTATTTGAATTACAAATGTAACACCTCTGGACTTGATTGTCTATTTAAAGTCTGCTTTAATTATTTGGAGTGTTTTGTGATTTCATACACATTTTAGAAATATTTTTTCTGTTTCTCTTGAAAGCTTCATTGAGACTTTGATAGAAGATACTTTATATCTGTGTATCAGAATGAATAGTAGAGAAATTTAATTATCAATGACTTATACTTATGAACATGAGATGCCTTTCTATTTTTTATGTCTTGTATAATTTTTTCTGCAATGTTTGAGTTATCAGTGTAAAGACCTTTCACCTCATGGCATGAAAAAGTTTTTGATCTGTTACTGATTTTGATGCTATAATAAAGAGAATTTCCTTTGCACATAGAACATTACTGAAATAAAGTAATGTGATCAGCTTCTGTTCTAATTTTCTGTTCTGGAACTTTATCAAATTGATCTATTAGTTTGAAAGTGTTTTACAGCTTTTTTTGGGGGGG